GCATCCACCCTGAACTAAAACCTGGGTTTTCCAAGAGCATTTGTACACAGAAGGAACAACATACGGCAGCACCAGTGAAGTCGAGACCCTGGTGAAGGGCCTAGAATGTAACACAGCACACAGCCTCGCCGCCACTCAGGCCTCCGTTTGGCAGATTTCATGTAAAAACAGCAGTGGTTTCACACTGACTGCACTTACTTCTTTTTAGCTCCCAGATTCTTCATTCTGCTGTGTTCCTAGCTTCACAGAGCCACATGGAGTTTCAGAAGATGGGACTTAAGGGGCCTCCCTCTAATGTCCTGCCTACCCCCAAACCTTCCCTACCACCTGCCTCCTGTCCTCTGAAAAAAGTCACTGAGTGAGTCCTATCTTTGGCTGAAGGCAGTATTTTCCCAAGTAGTGCATGGGGCATGATTTGGGAACCAAGGACAAACAACTTAATTTTAATAATGATACCTTCTATTTGTGGAAGGTGAGAGTAGTTTCGATTTAAGGCAATGCTACTTTTTCCCTTTTAAATAAATTTTTAAATGTTTAAAAGTGAGTCAATTTAAAGAAAAATGTTAAATATAAGACAGATGGCACACAGAGAAAAGACAGAAAACACGCAGGGGGAACACAAATAAGGTGAGATAAAAACAGATAAAGCATCCATTCCCAAGCCCCTTGCTTCAGAGTGCAACCATCCCTCACTGGAGTTTCTTTCACAGCCACCAGATACCAAAGATCAGCAAGATGTAGTTCAAAGTCGGCAGAGCGAGAAGGATGTAGAAACTGGATCAGAGACAGAAGAATCACATTGGCCTTATAGAGAGTGTTGTTGAGGAGGAAAGGCTGAGGATGGAGGCAGAGGGGGAAGTGCAGGGTCTCGGGAAGTTCGAGGCAGCAGGAAAGCAGGAAGTAGCAGGACTAATGAAAGGGACTCATGAGCTAGGCACATTGCTGGAAAAGTCCCCCTCTTCACACTTACTCTCCCCAGTGACCCTGCCCAAGACACTGAAAGCTGACTGGTAAAGTAGTGAGGGCAGCATTAGAAATTTAACTTGGCAGAAGTCTCCAAGGGATTTTTCTCCCCCCAAACCTTTGCAGTTCAATTGTTCCCCATCCCTGCCTTTCTTTGAACACTGACCCCATGGTCAGATAATTTTCAGTAATGGGGTATTTGCTAGACTAATTCTCTTGGGACTAACTAATGCTTCTTTAGCACCAATTGTTAGAGAATTAATGATAGGCACCTGTGAATAAGGCCTTACTCCTCAATGAGTAAATGCCCGTAAATTAAACCCTCCTCCCACCGTGACCGCCAACGCTCCCTTCAACTATTTAATTGAAAGGGTTCAGAAAAATATATAGCACCCCTTGTTTTCAGCAAAGTCATACCACACTGGCTTGCTGACCACAAAAACTATTCAAACCATTTGCCCCCCTTACTTGAAGCCTAAATCAGTGTGAATATTCCATATGTCTCCTACAAACTTCAAAAAAGAAGTAGTTCCAAGCTCACTTCCTTTTGAAGAGCCCTCTGTACTATAAGTGCCCAAAGCGGTGTAAACCTTTTTGGCTGAAGGGTCAACTCCTGCCCAATCCCCTCACTTCTGTCTACTGCTGGGTTTTAATTGCTGCCTCCCATTTTATAGCCAAGCCAATTAGCAGTGCAGGCCACGCACGGGGAGCCTGAAAGCCTGGAACACAGCAGTCTGAGAAACATAGGAAACTTCTTCTCCTGTCAGAAGTTTGCTCGAATGAGAATTATGCCTAGCCAACAAATGTCAAAAGTCTAAGAGATGAACATTACCAGTTCTGTACAGTCCCTGGGAACGTCAGCCAGTGCGTGCATTTCCTGTGGCTGGCAGTAGGCCTGGCAGACTGGCATAGGACAGGGGAATTTTAAAAAATGACCATTTCACTCATCCAATTTATTGAGCTTTATTACCAACTTGTCTTTGATGAGCTTAATAGTAAATTCCTTTAGGGCTGAGAGGGTGTTGGGTCTAAAGCCCCCGACACCTGCTAGGTTACTGATTTACTCCAGGCACTCTAAAATAGAGTGGGGAACAGTCTGAACTGATTTGCATGTCAAATACAAACACGCACTTACCCTCGGGCCTGCAGATCTTGGGCATATTGGTAACCAAGACCAAGTACTCAGGAAACCCCGCCCCCCCAACACACACAAAAGCCTTAGGGTCTGAAGGAGGCTTTTACAAAAATTTAGAATGCCCAGCTCCTTTCCATTTCACTGCAACCCAAGATTTACCGTTCATCCAGAATGAAAATATTTGCTTTGGATGAGTTCAAACTTTATATAAGCTTCTCATTAATTCTCCTCGGTACCTCTGTGAAGGGAGTACTGACCATTAATTATCCCATTTCAAGGTCGAGGAGTGTTTCAGTGCCAAGAAAGGAGGGCCCTGCCCAAGGCCTTGGGTGGCAGAGGTGCAGGCCTGCCTCTCCCCTGGACCCAGTTCCCCTTAAGGGAGGGCATTTCAGTATCTCAACAGAACCCCAGCCCCAGTGAGCCCTGTTTACGGAAACACACTAACATTTTTTTCCCTGACAATAAAGTCTTAAACTCTATCACTGGGAAAACTTGTAGCCGCGGCAGGAGTGAAGGAAAACGGAAAATTCCCTAAAACTCTTGGCCTACTTAACCACCCTGAAAACACAGTTTCACAGTGTTTTGGGAAGAGGAGGGCAGGCTGTTTGTTTCCAAAGGAAGCATGATTAGTTGGCTGGTTCAAATATTTCTGAAGAGATTTAGAAAATGGTTAACAATTTTAAAAAACATATATATGGCCAAGAAATTTAATATCCAGCGATTCTGCAAAGCCCCTTAAAAATCACTATTATAACAAGGGGTGGACAGGGACAGGGACTCATTGGGTAAGTAGTAATGTACGGTAGACACATTGTTCGGGTGACCTATCTGAAGACTTCTTTTCCGGAGAATGACTTCACTGATCTGACTGGAAGCTCACTGGGAGTCCGCTTTCCCCGAATGCCACCACCACTCTGATGTGCCCTCCCTCGAGCGCTGGGCAGGCCTCTACATTTATACACAGACCAGCTGCGGCCACTTCCCAAGTTCTCGGCAATTCCCTAAACTGCCTTTTACTGTAAGAGATCCCTGGAGGTTCAACTCTGTTTACTGGAGTCCAACAAATACAAAACAAGTAGGTGGGAAAGTTCAGCCATTTTACTTCCTCCCAGGAAACAGAAGTTCCTAAGGTTCAGTATAAAATGGACATCAGTGCATTTTTTGGAGTCACAGAACCAGTAAGTTCCAGAGCTGGGAAAAACCATAAATCACCAAATCATTCCTCTTTCGTAATGAAAATATTTTCTGTTTTGGGAAGGTAGGACAAAATGGAGAATTAACACTTAAGCATTCTGAGACTGGGAAGCCCCCAAGCTGAAGGGAAAAGGTAGAAAGGGGGAACTCTTCGTTCTACAATGAACAAAGACCAGGGGACTCCTTTCTGCTTCCCCGGTGCCCACATTCATGTTTTGGGCACTGGTTATCCTTTAATAACTCACTCCCATTAAATCTACCGGTCACTTGGGGTTTGGGTTTCACCCAGGGGACAAGAGGTGTTTGTAAGACAGTTTGAACCTCTGATGAAGGGCAAGCCAATTACCGACATATATAGGCTGGAGCAAAAGTAGGTTTCCAGTTGTGAGTACATGAAACACAATTTACTCTTTGGTTATTATTTATTGTACTATTTTCCATACGAACAACTGGAAACCTACTTTTGCCCCACCCTGTAGAAGGGTGCAAAGCTCGCAGGCAGTTGTTAAATCTGGCCAAACGAGATAAGAAAATGAGCTGCAGTTAGTGCTTCCTTTCTAAGAAGGCATTTTTGTTTTAATCAGCTAACAATGACTGGGGTGTGCAGCCCCTGGCTGCCTGCACGCCATCCGTCTGTTACAGGTATTTCATAAACAAGGTTCGCAGAATCCCATCACACCGGAGTTCCAGGTGTTGTCACCTCTTTCCCACCCTGTCACAACAGCCTCCTCAGTGTCTCCGCATCCCGGGGACTCCTGCTACCCCAATTCAGCCGACGCCTCCACGACTCCCACAGCACGCAAACCTTCAGCTGCGCACTCCAGAGTTTTCCTAACCCGCCCTAACCGAATTCTGCGAACTTGTTCCCCCCCCCACAGCCCTAGTACTGTCAGTCACAGAAGCCTCTTTTCCCTCCAGCGCCAGGACTCCGGTCTCCAGCGGAGGTCTCCTTCTCTCCCCGGCTCTACTCTTCCAATTCCCCACGGCGGCTGGGAGAACAGTCCCCGCTCCACCCGACTCCGCTCAGATTTCACCTCCCCCAACAGGTCTACTCAGTCTCAACGGCCAGGATTCCTTTCCACCGCAGCACCCAGTCGGGACACCATCGGCCCGGCTCCCACCCGCCGGGCTTCGGAGCGGCCTCTCGCCCCCACCCCCCGCAGGCCCAGCTTAAAGCACCGAGTAGGTCCCTGGCGTCGCCTCAGAAATCGCGGCGCCTCAGAAATCGCGGCCCAAGGCAAAGAGATGCAGAAGCATCTCGCAGACGTCCCCCGAGACGGGGTGTGGCAAGTGCCGCTCCTAGCCCGTCGCCTCCTCGAACCGCGAGACCACTAAAACAAGGAGCCCCTTAGTCCGCCGCCCAGAGGCCGGGCGGGCTGCGCCAGATCCGCGCTCCCCGCACCCGCCAGCCAGCCTCCGCCAGCTGCCCAGCGGCCAGGAGCCGGAGGAACTGCCAGCGGGGTGAGGGTGTGTGTGTGTGAGGGAGACACCTAGATGGGCATCGGGCAGGCTGCTGCCGCTCTCCGGGATCCCCACCCCTCTCCCGGGGCTGCGAGCGCCCCCGCGGGAGCCGTCCCATCCCGCCCGGTGCCCACTGCTCTTGGGGAGCCCTCTGGGGAGCTCGGGGACGCGAACAACCCTGGAAGGGCCCTGCCCGCGCCTCGACCCCTCCGTGATCTCAGGTTAGCTGGGCCCGGGGCCGCCTCACCTCACCTCTCCAGCAACGGGCTGGGCACCGGTTGAGTCGGGAGCGGACGGGACTAGGTAAGACAGCACAAATAGCTCAGCACTTGCCTCTGAGTGAGTGAGAAGCCGCAGCGCGGCTGACGTCACGGCAGTCCCAACAGCCGCGAGCTGCGAGTCACCTGATCACCCTGGCAACGTGCGCGGGGCGTGGCAAGGCAGAGGGCGGTGTCACAGCTCGGGCTCCGCCCCTAGCCTCGGGCCTTCAGTCGCCTAGGGCCATGTAACGCAGTCACCAGCGCCTCCGGGACTGGAGATGTGACTCTGGCCTGTCTGTTCCAGCCTCTGAGCTGAGCTAGATGCCAGATGCGCCTACAGGGCTCTCCCCTTAAATTGTATCAGTTCTCCAAGACTCCAGACGATACACCGTCTCCGCTAGAGCAAGTGCCCGGAAGGCAGGGCATGTGTTCCCCTGGTTCCCGGCTGGCTGCGTGGCACACAGGGTTAACTGTGGGTTGCTCCTCCTCGCACTGTCTAGGCGCCAGGTGTTTACTTCCTGAGCTGTACCTGGGAGGACTAGGGCTGAGGCTGGTACCTGCATTGTTCTCTGTAACTTTTCCTTCATAAAACCTCACAGCAAATAAGGCAGCTTCTGCTGGAGAATGTAATCATACTTCATTCATTCAGGAGAGGGGAGAGGAGGGGTTGGAGCCCTGGCCCAGCCCTCCAGTTCTGAAGGCCTCCTCCTTCCCGGATTCCAAAAGAAAGAGAAATCACTGAAACACTCCCAGAGCAAAGCCTAGGACAAGCCTGCAAGTCCTCGTGAAAAGATTTTTTATTTTTCATTTTAGAAATTGATTTTTCATTCGAATTCCTCCCCTTGCTTGCTATAAACGTATGTCTATGCCTCTCCACGAATTTGAAAAGATATGTGCACCATCATGTTCATTGCAGCATTATTTACAATAGCCAAGATACGGAAACAACCTAAGTGCCATGAAGTGGGACATACAGACAATGGAATATGACTCTGACTTTCCGGTTTCTGAACATAAACCATCAGCTTCTAAGTAAAAATTGAACACCCCATAGAAGTCCCAGTTTGAAAACCACTGCTTATCTCTTCCCTTTTTCCTGAGTTTCATTTATATTTGACTCTTCTACACCCTGCACCGCCATGGAGGTGTCATATATGTTGTCCTTCCCTCTCAGACTATGGGACTGTAAACCAAAAAGCTGTTTATAATCAACTTCTAGTAAGAACCTTTTGGTGCCTGGTAATGGGCAATGCCAGGATGACTGACACACTGTCCTTGAAGATCACGAGTTTATGGGTAGTGTCTCATATCCAAGTACCAACTGTCCTGTTTATTATTTACTTAATAGTTTTAGTAACACTTTTTTACTTTTATATATTTTTTAAAGAAAACAAAGGGGGGAGAGTTGTAAAAGGTGCAAGAGAATCGTGGCTGTAGCCAAAAAGGGTTGTACTAATGGGAAGAAGAGATTGAAAATATGAGTCCAGGGCCCACGGGGCAGAGATCAGCAGTCAAGAACATGGTGGGAGCAGGGCAGGGGCACCCAGACCCCTGAGGAGGGGAACTCTGAATGGAGATCAGGGAGGGCAGAGAGCAGAGGCGGGTCAGAATTGAGGGAAAAGTGCTGGGAGCAGAGGGGAGAAGGGATGGGGAGAAAGGAGAAGCAGTTGGAAATTTGGGGAAGAGCTGCTGAAAGGGAGCATGGTGCGGTACAGAGAGACCTAGGAAGCGTGGCTGACAGCCATAAAGGAAGGGGGCTGTGAGCTTACAGAAGTGAGGACTGTGGAGAAGGAGGAACGGGTGGGGAGAATCTGCTGTAGGCTAACATTTCTGTCTCCTCCGGACCAAGAAATAGGCAGTGTCCTTCAGAGGCTGGCAGGGGAGCGCAGCATTGTCTATGAGCATCTGAGGAAGGAAAGTCATTCACACACACCCCAAAACCATCTCTGAACCATCAGGGGAAGCGGGGCAAGAATCATCCTTTGCAGAACACTAATGCAGAGGAAAGAGCAGGAATAGTACCTCCATAACTATACTCTGACACTCATGCTTTTGGACTGGAAAGTTTTCCAGGCCCTTGGGGGTAGGCATATGAGGCTCTAATCTGGGCAGGGCAAGGAGAGGATTGGGGGGAGCGGTGGAAGGCAGGAATAACGGTCTGGGAAGGGAGGGAAATTTCTCATGGCAGCTGGGACATATGGGAGCCGGCTATGCTGAGGGAGAAGAGATGGTAGGACATGTTTTTAGAAATGCCCTTGGCCACTTCCCTTTTACTGAGTTGGTTGTGTGTGAGAGGACATAACCATCGAAGAAAAATGGTTGTGTTCTACTCTGTCACCCTCCCCCTTCCCTGTCACCTCTACCTTCACTGTATGAGTACAAACTCAGGTAATATTGCTAACAGCATCCAAGAACCAGAGATGCGGCTGGGAGTGCATCTCACCTGGCTCCTTTCTAGGATTAGATCTTTTTTAAAATAAAAAAAAAATAGTTTTCTGTTTTTTTATCCCATGATTCTTGTGTGTGTGTGTGTGTGTGTGTTTTAAAGATTTTATTTATTTCTAGAGAGGGAAAGGAGGGAGAAAGAGAGAGAGAGAAACATCAATGTGCAGTTGCTGGGGGCCGTGGCCTGCAACCCAGGCATGTGCCCTGACTGGGAATCGAACCTGCAATGCTTTGGTTCGCAGCCTGCACTCAATCCACTGAGCTACACCAGCCAGGGCTTTAGGATTTGATCTTAAGTCCCAGGACTAAGCAGTGGGTCAGATGTAGAAGTTGCCAGATATTTGCCAAGTTTCTTCACAATAGCAGCGAGTTGCCATTTCTAGAAATACAGAAAAAGGTCTGTGTAGAAGGTCTGGACAAAGTGAATCTTCTGTGAAAGTCCATTAGCCACAGAAGATACAATGAATTTGCAACATTTGTGATCCCGGAGAGCCACCCAAGGATTGTGGAGGCGACATGATGCAGCAGTTGGGAGCCTGAGCTCTGAGGTTTATCTGTTTTGTGACCTTGGGCAAGTCACCCACCTTCTTTGAGCCTCAGTCTTATCTGTAAAATAGGGTTAATAATACAGACTATCATAAACTATAGGGGAATTCTAGGTCCACAAAAAAACCCAGATTCATAATTTCCCAAAAGGCCATTATAAATGTTTTTTATTGATTTTTAGAGAGAGAGGAAGGGAGAGAGAAGAAAATAACATTGCTTGGTTGCCTCCCACACACACCCTCACGGGAGTCAAACACACGACCTTTCGGTGTACGGAACAACACTGCAATCAACTGAGCCACATGGCCAGGGCTCAACAGGCCATTGTAAAACCATTGTACTCCATCTGTTCACTCAGCCTTGGATGGAAGAATATTTCTCGGATGCCTATTGTGCACTCAGCACTGTGATAGATATGACAGGAGCATGTTCCCTAACTTGGTCCTCCAGGCATCTAACTCCTGATAAAAAAGCAAGATGGTATGAGACCTCTGAAGACCCCTGTAAGACTGAATGCTGAACTGTGTCATGCCCTTCTGTTCCCTCGATGTTCACGGAAGGGAGGCCATGCCAACTGCGTTGGCAAGGGTGGGGTGCATGAAAGGAAGGGTCTACAGCTGAGCCCTGAGAGGCAGGATTTGGAGGAGTGATGAGAAAAGACAGCTTTCTGGGTCATATCATCTGGACAGCATGTGCTCCGGGGGCTGGGGCTCAGAAAATATTGCTGAAGAAATGGATGATCGAATAAAGACAATAAAATTAGAGAACAGTAGTCATAAAACCAGCCTAATTGGCCTATGGAAATTGAGAACTATAAGAAATAAGGTAGAGACAGAGCAGGTTATGGAAGAGCTTTTGAGACAGTAGAATCTTCTAGTAGGAGCATAGGGTTTGGAGCCAGAAAGACAGGGTTACATTCAGACCCCATATCACTTATTGGCCATGTGACCTTGAGAGAGTTACGGAAGTTCTCTGTGCACTAGTTTCCTCATCTGGAAAATATTAGGGATAAAGTTGATCTCTACTTTATAGTGTCATTTGTAGGGTTAACTGAGATAATGAACATGTACCCAAGCATGGTGCCTGGCACATACTAAGTGCTCCAAACTATTGGCTTTTTATTAAGTTCCAGGAAGAAGAGGATAAATTCAATATGAAAATTATAGGGGGACCTGGCTGGTGTGGCTCAGTGGATTGAGCTCCAGCTTGTGAATCAAAAGGTCACTGGTTCGATTCCTGTTCAGGGCACATGCCTGGGTTGTGGGCTAGGTCCCCAGCTGGGGTGTGCTAGAGGCAACCAACTGAAGTTTCTCTCACACATTGATGTTTCTCTCACACATCAATATTTCTCTACCTCTCTTCCTCCCTCCCTTCTTCTCTCTCTAAAATAAATAAATAAATAAATAAATAAATAAATAAATAAATAATTCCTAAAAAAAGAAAAAGAAAACAAGAGGAGAGCACTGAAGCTCTCCCCAAAGTGGGAATGGGATGCAGTATTTTGTGAAGAATCCTTTGGTAGCAGCATTCAGGCTGGTCAGAAGGGAAAGTAGGGCCATGGCAAAGGTGCGTCCCCAAGAGGTGAAGAAGGGCTGATCACAGACTGGAAACAACTCCTTCTGGAAGGAGAAACCCTGTCCCGCTCACTCACACACGTGTGGAAGTCAGAGCCTGGCATGAGGAGGTGCTCGATCACCCTGTTCAATGAACATCTCTAAATGTCGCTCGAGTCGAACAACCTCTCTTTGGAGCTCGCAGGCCCAATGATGAGCACTAAGAGAATTCCCTGGAGTCAGGGACGGGCTGTTTTAAAGCACTGGAGAAGTCCACTAGACCTGGCCTCTGGCTGATTTCGGCGTCTCCCCTCTCCCCCGCTTTGGAAGTAGACAAATGAACACATGTCAAAGGAAAGCCAGTGAATGTGGCCAGCACTAGCAAAGAATGAATGGCCGGATTCTTTTCCCATGTTAGGGTATCAAAGAAAGAAGAAAAAGAAATTATACTTCTTTGTTTCTGAGCTTCCTGCTCTGCCTGATTCTAATTGAATTTGAGGTTCACATGAAGGAGAAAAAGGCAAAATCATCAGTTTGCTTCTGGCCATGGTTCAAGGTTTGGTTTTCACCTGAGCACTGACTCTCACAGTTTTGTTTCT